ACTCCATTGCTATGTATCCCTTTCCTGGGTTGGTCTCTGTGAACTTCCTTTTGCAGTAGATCTGAATGTTATGACTTTTATGCACCAATTCAGTCACATCTATCGAAAAAGTACGGAAAAAAATTGGAACCAGTGACCACGATAACCCAGTGGAGCCTGTGTTCTTGTGGAAAGTCACCTCCCCTCTGGCACTCACGGACGACATACGATTGCACTGCAGATTCTTGTGATTTGGACTAATCTGCTGTTATATTGCCCTTACTGATATTACCCTCACTTCAGTGGAAAATAAAAAAGGAGCTGGCGCTGTTTCTATTTCAGCTTTAGTCACTCAAGTTTTAGGCTCATTGATTGGTCACTAATAAAGGCGGTAGGGGGTAGGCGGGGGGGGGGGGGAGGGTAGCTGTTAGTGTCATGTAGCTTACATAGGGACTTACAGCGAGGAAGTTAAACTTCTAGACCCCTCAAGTTTACCACTGAGCTGAGCGAATAGAGTAGGGTGGGTACTAGTGAACAAGAACAGTAGGACCATCGTCATAAATGATTCAGTGGTGCAATCGTCAACTGTATCACGCGGGATGGGGAACTAGAGAATCCCCCCCCCTGTTTCCCGTTGGGAAATTGCTAGAGCAAGTCATAGACTCGTGTAGCGAGCGTCAGCCATTACAGTCATTGACATTGCTGCTTTTCAAGACACATTTCGCAACTGCACTTCGTGGTCAGTGGGTCCGAAATCAAGTTACAGATGGCAGTAAAGTTCCCACAGAAGAACGCGTCCCAAATAAGGCCTTTCCTTCTGAAGCTGACTTCGGGACGAACGTGCGGATTTGGGGAGAAGGCACAGCAGCCGAGGTAGAGAGTAGAGGGATGACAGATACGCTCTCTTGCAGAAATGATACCACCGGTGTTTTTATTTGGTGGGACGCGTCTGACCGGAGGCGATCATTCTCGAGCAAATAGTTCCTCCTCCCTTGATCACGCCCTTTCGCGCTGGCAACCTGGCACTTGTAGGTGGTATTCTACTCATGAGGTGGTCGCGAAATGTGTCACTAAAGCGAGAGTAGCGTGTTTCAGGAACATTTTCACGCAAATACCAACAAGAGCAAAGTAAGGATACGTGCGCTCACCTGTGGGACATTGATCTTTTCTCTAGGAATCCTTGACAGATGGGAGTATACTTCTACTTCAGCGTTGTGCGCCTGAAATAGTATGTGCACCGCTTATTGTAGACGAAGCCGTTTTCTGACAGTTCCTGTTGGGAGACGCTGAGAAAATGCGGATTTTTTGCTCTCACACAATAATATAAACCTCAAAACATTAAGTTACTGTTTAATTGAGGCACTGTTTTTTTTTCTTAAAAGTGCTAGGGGACAGTTTCAGCTGCTCTGGTAGTTCTAGGAAAGCAGCCCAACTCACACGTTTCTCGCTGGCCTCGAATCTGGCCCTGAAGTCTGGATCCTTGAATTTGTGATTTTCTCCTGTGTCCTTTCCGATTTCATCGTAAATCTTTTGCATTACAAGTTGAGTAGGAATCTGAATAGTTATCGATAATCGATCATCGATTTCTGGTCTGAAACTATCGCAGTGTAGTACGGATATTCGCGGAGGATCATGAAGAGAATACGGAATCACTTTTATATGCAAGGAACCCGGAAAGAGCAATCGCATGGGCACTTCTGTTCGTTGAAACTTCTAGACCAGGCATATTTGGCCCGAATCGACAATACCGATCGTCTCAACAGACATTTGAGGTTTAAGCCCGAAGGTGCAGTAATTTTATGTTGTCTAGAAGCATTTGATAGGTTTGCCAGAGTATTTCGATGTACCAGCGTACCATAGGCAGCGTTCAGACTTCGCGACGGCAGCTCCTCTCGGTCGCGCGTTCGACGCGATCGATGCAGTTGAAATCGTGAGCATCGATCGTTCGGATCGCGCGACCGAAGAGCCACTGTCGCGAAGTCTGAACGCTGCCATACATGTTAGCAGTATGGGCACAGCTAGGCTTCAGACGCACGACTTTGCGACGCGGCGTTTCCTCCAGCTCTCTGAAGAGCATTATCAGAACATTCTGTGAACCCACCTTAACTAAGAGCTTCTCTGGGAGTTCCTTATCCATAGGCTGCCAGTCCGGCTCAACGAGTACAATCCTAGACATGAAACTCTGAAATATTCAGTGGAAATGCTAAAACTAGAAGGGTTTCTTCTTTTAAGGATTCAGGTAGTGTAACAGTGAGTGACGGCCTTACAGAGTTCGGAGTTACTTCGAGTTCCAAATGAAATCCCGCTTGATACTGAAACGCCTTCCAGGCATTAAAGACAGCGCCCGCGATGGACTTTGGCAGGTCTCAGGGGTCAAATTTGTTAGAACAGGTGGCCAATGAAGCACTAATCAAAAAAAGTAGGAAAAAGGTGTGGAAGAGCGTGAAATAAGACCCTACGAAATTTAAGGCATGTGGACGACGAGTTTCGCAGACCTTTGGTGAGTTCTCCAATACACGTCGCCGGCTCGGAACTCCAGAAACTTAGCGTTTATCAATGCCAGCAAGCACTGATAACTGTTAACCAGTCGGGGCGGGATTAACAGGGAAGGAGGCGTCAGCTCAGCCTTGTTGACTCCGCCCTCGTCAATCAATACATTTCGAGCCGCAAGAGTGGGATATCCGCTATGGTTGCGAACTCCGCGTTCGTTTTCATTGGAGGGTTTTTTCACTTTGGTTGATCGCGGACGCTGCCTTTAAATGTTGGAGAGACACTTCCAGTACGTGGAGGGAACGGTAGAATAAAACTGCGAGTTATATGGTGGCAAAATACCACTCCAATACCAGTACAATTGTGGATGGAAGTGCAATGCGTGACGACTTCCAAGGCAGACTTGGACAGGGGCAGATCATTCACTTTTTCTCTTTTAACTAAGTTTTTTCCTTTGATATCGTGGGGTTGTCTCCTCATAAACACACTCATCTCTGGCCCGTGTCACACGCAAGGTGAATGGGGTCCGCAGCGGCAGTAGCGTGACACTTTCTGCGCTCAAGGTGCACGGGAACAGATCTAGAGCTAGTGATCCCGGAAGCAGTTCGGGATCCGTCCGCGCTGTCGCATATCTAGCCACACGCTTGACCCTAGCCAAACGCGCTATTTATTTGCGCCCTCTCACTTGTAGTTGCTCTCTGCGCTGGTAGCGTGTTTTGGAATCACTACCCTTCCCCACTTCCACGTCTTCTCAACCGCCGAAGGCTGTGAAGCTACCTGCAAACATGGACTTGTGCTTGTCGGAAAAGACTGAAATCTTTGCTGACGCTAACCATAAATCCTTTCCTTCCAATACACTAATGTGGCGCAGTTCAGCGACGGTGGGAAGGGGGGGGGGCATTTTGCTTCCCATCGATGTGTCGACCCATCTAGATAGCCTTTTCTCGAGTTGACACGTTTTACCATGGTGGCTAGACGAGCTCCAGCTTCACAAGAGTTCACAAGTTTCACCAGAGTGAGACTTGTAAACCGGAAGTAGTGAAGCAGTGAAAATGCAGAATGCCCCCGTCGCCGAAATGCGCCCACTTATGTTACTTACAAAGGGACCAACACTTAAGGAACCAGATAACTTCGATTTTTATAAGTGCTCTACTAACGATTACCTTGTATTCTCCTATATCATCGACAGATACGTTAGCTCCAAACGACGCAGTGGTGTTTAGGGCTATTTGCATATCCTGTTCGATGTCCTCCAGTGTGACATGAGTACCGAACAGACCGTCTCCCGCTGTGTAGAGATTAGTCGTGCTCATGTTTCCTACAATACCAATCATATAGTTGAAGCCAGAATGCAAAGACAAAGAAAACGCATCCAGACAAAGCCGTACAGTAAAGCTAACAGAAACTCTCCCGGAGTCTGAAACTTGACTCGCTAGTCCTGTAAATAGTAACGCCAGATGATGTTCTTCGGCCTCTCACTTCTGGTTTTTCTCCACTGCTGAGTGCCGCTGTACTCTACCCGGGCCTAGTATGGGGACGGCGCCCCGGTGTCACTACTCTCCGGCCCCGTTCCCGTCCCGTATGCTTTGAGCGAAGAAAGTGGCACGCTACTGCGGTGTAGAACCATTCGCCTCGCACATGGCAGGAACCGTCCTTGGAGGCGAGGGCACTATTAATCTTCAGAAGATTAACCTAAGATGGTGGGCAGTGTGTCACTGATTCCAAACAAGAAACGGTTCCTTGTTTTACAGAGAGCAACCTCCCAGACGATGAACGCTAGTGAGTGTGCGACTGGGTACGGAACTCAAACAAATTTCGGAACTCGGCAAGCCCTTCGTTCTACCGTTAAATGTAGAAATTTTTCATTCAATTCATATTGCATTATTATGCTCAAAATGCTTCAGGGAACTTTACAAAGCCCGTTCATTCTAGTCTTGAAATGAGAAATCATTTCATTCAATTCATTTGCATTATTATGCTCAAAATGCTTCAGAAGCGCACCGTGGGAATGGCTGAGCATGGAGGAGCTGCTAAAACCTTAAGAATCATTATGAATCCCGGAAGAATCTATTGGAACTTCGCAGCTTTCGAGTACTGTAAGTCCAGGGGACTGGAGCAAATTGAGGAACACTGTAGCCTGATCCGATGCTCGATGACCGCGACTGATGCTTTGGTTTCAGCGAGTGCGAGGCGACGGAGGGCGACTGGCGG